CTGAGAGGAGGAGGGTTGCGGTGGGGGCGGAGGCGTCAGAGGAAGCGGGCGGGGCTACCTACCGCTCGAGGAGGCGGGGTCAGAATCGGGGGGCGGGGCCGAGGCTTACCCAGGCGAGCCAACGGGGAGCGGCGGGGACCAGGGGAGGAGCCCAGTTCACCTGGCACTACGCAGTGAGGGAGGAACCTGGTGCACGTCAGAACCATAGGGTCCACTTTCTGCGGTTTGGGGTAGAGCCGGAGGAGTGGGGCAAGGAGCTAGGACCCGAGAAGAGGGAGGGAGGGAGGCCCGGCTAAGGTGCAGGAGTCCTGCCTTTCCAGCCTTCAGTCCCACCCCCCCGCCCCGGCCGCAGCATATCCTTTGCTGAACTTTGGCCCTGGACGCCACTTGAGTGAGGTCCTGTGAACATTTTCCTGCTCATGGATGAATCTGTCAGCCAGAAAAGTATTGCACTGCTGGTTGGAGATGTTTGTAGTTGAAAAGCCTGACATGTTATCCAGCGTAATCCAGAGCAGGGTACTGGAATAATGCACCACGACCAGTGACTGTAAAGAAGGTTAAATGATAAGAAATCTCTTAATTTGCTATACTAAGAGGCCAAAAGATGGTTAACCGATCGTTGGCACCGATCCAACGCTAAGAGGAATTGCCAATTTGTTGTGCGCCGAGAAAGGGAACTGTGATACAGCATGGCTGTGGAACAGCCCGCTAGTGTTAAGGCTCAACTATGGAACAGCACGGCTGCTGGCTGCGAGGCAGCCTTGGGGCGAGGACGTTGGCTGGCTCGACATCTGGACTCCGCAAAGGTGTCTTCGGTGTTTCAGCTCCAGCTAGGGAAACGTGATTCTCGCTCTTCACGTGAAGGGAAGCACTTATTCCCTGAACCAGAAGGCAGCCGACTTACATCGATAGAAGCCTCTGCCCCTGGTCCCTGATTGACCTGTCCTCATGCAAATGAGGGCAAGCAGTTCGAGTGATGAAAAAGCCCTGCCCGGATTGGTCAGAATAGAGCCGCTCTGATTGATCGGTGAAGCTGCTGGGGGGGGATATAGCTGCCACAGCTCCCAGGGGATGGGGGAAGTCTCAGTCCTACTGGTTGAGTACAATTCAAGACCTCCTTTATAAGGGTTGGCTCAGATGGTAGGAGCACAGTGCAGGCAGGCAGGCAGGTGGTTCAGGGCAGGTGCCTCCCTGAAGCTCAGTTTTCGTGAGAGCCACCTGTGCAGAAATGGCTTCTAAGCTCTGTTTTTGTTTGTTCGATTGTTTATTTTAACTTTTTGTTTGTTTTTGTTTTTGTTTTTTAATTTGAGAGGAGTTAGCCACCAGGAGCCCATCTTAGTAGGCATCTTCTTTTTGGGGTCAACAGGATTATCAGTATAGAAACTGAAAGACAAAAGTAAGAGTCGTTGGATGCTTTCCAACCACGTCGTTATACATCTCTACATGTAAGAATAAAGGAAAGGAATGGCTAAGGCATTAACCAATGGAAGGAGGGGACTCTAGCAATTACAGGTTATGTCTGAATTCATTTGTCCGCTGACTACGAAATTAATGTCAATCCTTCACAAGCTTTTATATATGGAGAAAAGAACCAGTTAAAACAGAAAATGGTGTTACTGACTCAATTCAGAAAAGCAATTAAAAAGAAACAGTTGTGCCTAGGAATATATTTTTAAAATCGTAAAGGCCGCTTAACATTTTTAAATGCTAAAGAAGGACACAAAAGAATACTCAGGCAAACAGAAATGCGTACCCAGCTCTGAGATAGGATGGCACAACATCTTAAAGATGTTCATTTTCCCCTTGCGAGGACATGGAAGAAGTACATGAGCTGAGGCACTGCCCCATGAGGTGCACGTGCTGCCTCAGGAGTTGGGAAGCTGATGGAAGGGACGCAGCTGGAGCTAAATAAATGAGCTACAGAGCCAGCCGCTGCTCCATACCAATACGGTGACAGCATATTTGCCTCCACTTGCTTGAGCTGCAAGAGCGCCTGGTGCCCCTGTGACCTTTCAAGTGCAAAACACTTCTTGTGCACCTAGCTGGCCCAGAATTATTCACAACTTCGAAAGAAACATTCAAAATACACGAAACAACAGTTTTCTGACACTGGGCACCAAGCAGCCAGGGTGGTGAGTATTCCCCCAAAATGGGAAAACCCGCACATACACATGAGGTAATCCCTATGATTGCCTCAGCTTATGGTCAGGAGCAAACACCCCAACCTGAACTCCCAGTCTTGTTTGTGTGTGTGTGTGAGTGGGTGGGTTGGTCGGTTTATATTTGCTGATCCAAAATGGAAAGCAGATGTGAGTCCCCTGAGTCTCCCAAAGCTTTCTCTTGGTTCTTGCCCTGCAGGTTCATCCTTTCTATTGAAGGTGTTTAACACACTCACCCCCCCCCCACACACACACACACGTCCATACTGTCCTTTTTCCCAGACCCAGGCCCCTCGATCCAGGCTGGCACCTCTCATTGCCACTAAAAATCTCTAGGGAAGTTGGAGTGGCAGGGTGAACCAGCCCTAAGTACTCCCTGACTTCTGGATGGTGAGAGCTCAGAGAACGTCCAACGGCTAAGGGAAAACACCATGCACTTGGCTGGGCGGCATCCAAGCCACACTGGAGTCACTTGGAGCCAGGCATCCAAGCCACATTGGAGTCGTGACAGATTCATTACTGGATTCCCATCGCAAGCTTGGGAAGGCCATCTGTTGCCACCTGTGGCTGTGCCAGTAGTGAAATGGAGTCTGGTTAGGAATCATACCCCACATGTCACTGACCATCTTCCTCTTCAGTCCCTTACAAACTGCTCGGCACCCAGAACAGCACTTCTGAGACTCTCTGGAGAGAGGGCCATACGCTGTGGGGACTATATACTGGTTAGAGTGAGGGTGAGCATAGTTGGGTGGGAGTAGCTCACAGCCTAGTGCCGACTCATTCCTTAACACATAGAGGTAACTAATAAGGATATAAATAAAGTTGCAGCTGTTATGAGAGACTAGGCGAAGTTCTTTGAACTCTGAATACTGAGGAACCCCTCAGGCAGGACATGAGACGTTGAGGCTTGGGCCGGTCCAGACTGGATGGCAAGAATAGAGTTGCTGACAGCTGCCACCCAAGATCTTTATGAAATCCCAGGGAGTGACCCGTGCCCAACCACCCAGCGTGGCACATCTTCAGGCAGGACAGTCCGTCTCAGTTCTTTCTCTCGTAGCTCGTGGGGGAAGATTTTATCGACCGCAATGATGAGGCAATTTGACGAATGTTTAAACCATGCTAATGTGTACAGAGGACGTACAATTTCAGTTAACGGGAAATTTTATACAACTAGTGGAAAATGTGCAGTATTCCCCGCCTTATCCACGGTTTTGCTTTCTGCCGTTTCAGTACCCCGCGGACAACTGCGGTCCGAGAATATTAAATGGAAAATTCTAGAAATAAACAATTCATAAGGCTTAAATTATGCACCATCCCACTCCATCCCTCCCAGGATGTGAATCGGCCCTTTGTCCAGCCTATAGATGTTATATATGCTACTCCTCCGTCCTCCCCCATTAGTAACTCAGGAGCCATCTCAGTTATCAGATCAACTGTCACGATATCACAGTGCTTATGTCCAAGTAACCCATATTTTACTTAATAATGGCCCCAAAGTACAAGATGCTGGCAATTCAAATATGAGAAGTCATAAACTATATGTATGTATAGGGAAAAAATTGTGCGTGTGTATATATATATATTTATTTTTACACATATATATATTTACACACACACACACACATATATATATATATATACACATACATATATATATATATATACACATACATATATATATATATATACACATACATATATATATATATATACACATACATATATATATATTTACACACACACACACACATATATATCTACATCTATATATGTATCTCTATCTCTATCTATCTATCTATCTATCTATCTATCCAATCTGTATCTAGGTTTCAGGCATCCACTGGGGATATAGGAACGTGTCCCCTGTGGATAAAGTGGGAGGGCGGGGGGGGGGCTACTGTATTGATTCATGTAAGGGACAAAATGCTACAAATATTCTTTCGCTGACCTGCCTCTCTGGATTCTGCCCTTCCTAAGACTTCATACGACCAGGCAGTATGGTACAATGAGAAACACTTCAGACTAAGGGACCAAGATTCTAATGTAGGCTTGACCAGGAATTAACTGCATGCTCACTGCTTTCAGTTTTAGTCCTCGTGACTTCTGGAATGATGTTCTGCAGAACCATGCTGGTCACTGTACGTCTGCCTTACTCTAGCAGGAACAGAAGATGCCCCACCACCTCTGCAATATCCAGGTATGTATTTGTGGTCTTCCTGTAGTGGCCAAAAGGATCACTTCACATAGGAAGGTGTTCGACTACCTACCACCTTTCTTACCTTAACAAGGGGAGAACTTCAGTCCCGGCCTGGAGACCACTCATCCTGCCACCAACCCCCTGACAACAATGCCCCACATCACAGAGCTCAGAGCTCCACCCTGGTACACCCTTGGTAGCAGAACCACCAGCCGCCTTGATCGCACTTGTGATCGCACTTGTGATACATTGCAAATAATACAAATCTACGAGTAGGAGCTTCTCCAACAAACGAATTTGATTAGAAAAACACAAGTACTTTACAAACATCCACGAAACCAGAGCCATACCTAAGTATCCCATGAATG